AATGTAGCCATATGGGCCAGGCGCGGTGGCTCACGCCTGTAATCCCAGCACTTTGGGAGGCCAGGGTGGGCGGATCACGAGGTCAAAAAATCAAGACCATCCTGACAAACATGGTGAAACCCGTCTCTACTAAAAATACAAAAATTAGCTGGGTGTGGTGGTACGCACCTGTAGTCCCAGCTACTTGGGAGGCTGAGGCAGGAGAATTGCTTGAGCATGGGAGGCAGAGGTTGCAGTGAGCTGAGATTGCACCACTGCACTCCAGCCTGGTGACAGAGTGAGACTCCGTCTCAAAAAAAAAAAAAAAAGTAGCCACATGTACACTAAAATGTTACTGATTATTTGAAATTTAAGTTTAACCAGGTATTGTGTATTTTTATTAGCCAAATATCCCAACTCTAAAGCTGGGCAAATTTTAACCATCATTTTCTTATCTATGAAACGAGGATAGCAATAGAATGTATAAAGTTGTCGTATGAATGAAACGAGATAACCCATGCAGACTGCTTACCACAGAGTATGAAACGTAGTGAAAGCTCAGTAAATGTCAGCTCTTCTTAGTTATTTCATACAGGTGTGTCTTAGGACAAATTCCTAGAAGGATGTTTCAGTTACAGAACTCCTGGGCCTAATTTAAGACCTGTTTGAGCATTCCATCATACTGGTTAAACTTGAATACTGTTTTGTGAAAAACCTTGAGCAGGTTACTGTCGGGGGAAATGGCAATAGAGTAAGGGCTTACAGAGTGCCCACGTAAAATGGTTACAAGTACTGGGAACAATAAACCGCGCCAAACTGCGTCAGGCCCCTGGGGAGGCAAACTTCCCTAAGCCTTCACGTTCCGGATGCAGAGTGACCTTGAGTCTGTTACAGTACATAACATGCTCAAGGACTTCACATCCCTTCTGTAGCATTACAAAGCAACCAGATTTGTATGCTGCTTGTGAGACTCACTCCCTCCAGCTGCACCTAGAATGCAATCTACAGATAACTACATGCTTCTGCTTTTCGAAGAAACTCACAAAGCCACCACTGCTAGCAATCTTTAGAACGACATGCCAGTTCCTGTTCACCGAAGATTGTTCCACCGTCATGCCAATCTCTCCCCACTATCACCTCACCTTCACCCCACCATCTGCTGACTGCTCAAAGTGATTGTAACCAACAAATACTGTGGAGAACCTAAGCTCCAGGCCTTCACTGCCTCCAGTACAAGTGATGGCCCCCTGGTCTCATGTTCATTCTTAAATCTTTTTCTCATTCCTTTGTTGCCACTGAACTCAGGGTACCCAGGGGTGGTGTGTGGGGGGCTGGTTCTCTACAGGTTACCAGATACTTTTCAACTAGCTTCAGGATACAAATCAGATTTTTAAATTGCCACACAAAAACAAAAAACTGCCATGTATATAGGCAAGTATCAATTTCCCTTTAATCACACCAAATATTTGGATATTGACTCTGATTTCTTTTCTATTTTAGGGTCAACTGAAGCAATATTTAAGAAGATACGATCCGACTGGGCACGGTGGCTCAAGCCTGTAATCCAGCACTTTGGGAGGCCGAGGTGGGCGGATCACAAGGTCAAGAGATCGAGACCATCCTGGTCAACATGATGAAACCCTGTCTCTACTAAAAATACAAAAAATTATCTGGGCATGGTGGCGCATGCCTGTAATCCCAGCTACTCAGGAGGCTGAGGCAGGAGAATTGCCTGAACCCAGGGGGGCGGAGGTTGTGGTGAGCCGAGATTGCGCCATTGCACTTCAGCCTGCAAAAAAAAAAAAAAAGAAGATACGATCCAAGGGATCTGCTAAGTAATTCCTAGGACTTACCTGTGTTGTCTAGTACCTAAACTAAATTACATTACAAAACTAAGACTTAATATTAGGCCCATGGCTTTTAACAAAAGAGAACACTCTATCTTTTGCTTTTGGCAAAGCTGATATTTACAGCATCCAGTCTTTATGCTTACCAGAAAAATATATTTTATATGTATATATTATAAAATATATCGATATACATTACATATATCGTATATATAATTATTGTTATAAATAAATTTTAGTGCCGCAAAATAAGTAGCACTCAAATAGAAATTTCGTCAGCAAGGCAATTTGCTTTTATAGAAGGGTGCAGCTCACAGATGGGACAATGGCAAGTGCATGCATGGACAAGGGAGAGGAAGGGGTTCTTATTCCTGATGGAGGTAGGCCCTACTGCTGTGGCATTCTTCTATTGGCTAGGGTTAGATGGCATAGTCTAGGCTCATTCCGATTGGCTTTTTTTTTTTTTTTTTTTAGACGGAGTTTCACTCTTGTTACCCAGGCTGGAGTGCAATGGCGCGATCTCAGCTCACCACAACCTCCGCCTCCTGGGTTCAAGCAATTCTCCTGCCTCAGCCTCCTGAGTAGCTGGGATTACAGGCACGCGTCACCATGCCCAGCTAATTTTTAGTATTTTTAGTAGAGATGGGGTTTCACCATGGTGACCAGGATGGTCTCGATCTCTTGACCTCGTGATCCACCCGCCTCGGCCTCCCAAAGTGCTGGGATTACAAGCTTGAGCCACCGCGCCCGGCCCCGATTGGCTATTTTAGAGAGAGCAGGGGTATGAGCTGGATTGGCGGGGTGGGTAGTTTGGCAGGAAGAACAGTTACGGAACAGGTCAGAGCAAGTGAGCAGGGTTCCTCCGGTCAAAGCAGGTGACTGGAGCAGCAGGTGACCAGAGCAGGTGACTGGGATGAGTTAGGTCAGGGCAGGGGACCGGGAAACAGATGTGAACTACTGATTAGAACTGGCGGAAAATGTTGTTTACTGAAACTACAAGGAAGTTAAACTTTAAAATAGAGAATTAATAAGAGAGCTGAGCATACTGACACACTGATTCTTTGAAGAAAAACTTGGGGTTCAGTATATCTAACATTATATATTACATACAGTAATTATATATTACATACATATTCTCAAATTTCAACACTAGAAAAAAAGCTGTTACTTTGAAAAGATATTCCACATTTATACTAATATAATTCTCTTTTTTTCTTCAGCTACAGGATTTCTATTTTGCCTTTTTTTTTTTTTTTTTTTTTTTTTTGAGACAGTCTCTCTCTGTCACCCAGGCTGGAGTGCAATGGTGTAATCTTGATCTCAGCTCACTGCAATCTCCACCTCCCGTGTTTAAGTGATTGACCCGCCTCAGCCTCCCAAAGTGCTGGGATTACAGGTGTGAGCCACTGCACCTGGCTTCTATTTTGCATTTTATCATAATGTTAGTAGACTCATGGGTTTATTATGATTAATTTTTTTAGTGACTTTCTAGAGGCAGGAAAGATATAAATAATATATGGGCCAAGAATACAATCATGGTGTGGCACCTGTTTTGTGCTGCCAGGTCAGCCTTTTAAAGGATCTGTCAAGTGGACTGACGGTAATAGATCAGCCACATGTCTGTCTAGCAATAGATTTTATACAGTATTTTGCTAAATAGATAAGTATAAAGAAGTTATTTGTGGCCAGTCACAGTGGTACACGCATGTAATGCCAGCACCTTGGGAGGCTGAGGCAGGTGGATCACCTGAGGCCAGGAGTTCAAGACCAGCCTGACCAACATGGTGAAACCACATCCCTACTAAAAATGCAAAAATTAGGTGGGCATGGTGGTGAACGCCTGTAATCCCAGCTACTCAAGAGGCTGAGGCAGGAGAATCGCTTGAACCTGGGAGAGAGAGGTTGCAGTGAGCTGAGATTGCACCATGGCACTCCAGCCTGGGTGACAAGAGTGAACTCTGTCTCCAAAAAAAAAAAAAAAAAAAAAAAGAGGTTATTGGTTATTTGGGTTGTATCTAATAGCTCAAACAAAACAAAACAAAACAAAACCAAAACTTCATTCCTTGCTGCATACCAGCAACTACAAGAATACCTGGCCCCAAGCAAACACTCATTGTTGATTGAATGAGCTCAATAGATGAGTCAAATTGGTTTTTCCGCTGTAAAAACTAACTTATCTTCTTTCCAGCAGAGGCTATTCTCTTCCACTTTTTTTCCCCCCTTTCAATGCATTTCTTCTCTCATTATCTGTCTTTCTGAATTCAATGTCTTTCACCTTCCTAGCCACCATCACCAGGGTGAACCCAACAGTGATGTATGTGTCTAACCCCAAAGATTCGAAAGCAGCATTTTGGACATCTGGCAATATGTTTACACAGGACAGACAAGGCACCCAGCTGCTTCTTCCCTGATCCCAGCTAAACAGTTTACCAAGAGTCAAGGAGTGTCTGGAGGGCTGGAGGCCAGAGCCACAGGAGGAGACAGACATGAAAAAGGCAAAATCAGAAGCAGGGAAGGGGGAGTATCTCCAGATGATGGAACAGCTGGCAGGGACAGATGGGGAAGCTGGCCTGGAGATCTGGCCAGACACCCAGGCAAGTGGACTGGACAGCAGACGTTTAGGAATGCAGCTGAGCAAGGTGTCAGTACCAGAATCTACCCTGGCAGGAACAAAGGAGCTGCTGCAGCTCAGTCAAAGTCACTGCGCACCAAGCATGGTTCTGCTGAACGTCTTCCTAAGAAGGCAACCGAGACAGATCATCTGTCGGAGGCAGAAGCTATGTTGGCAGAGGGAAAGCAGTCCCTCTCGTCTCTACCAGGGCCAGGTGGGGGTGGTAAGCAAATGTGTTTTACCTCGGTCAGCTGTGTGATAGAGTCTTTTTTTTTTTTTTGAGACGGAGTTTCGCTCTTGTTACCCAGGCTGGAGTGCAATGGCGCGATCTCGGCTCACCGCAACCTCCGCCTCCTGGGTTCAGGCAATTCTCCTGCCTCAGCCTCCTGAGTAGCTGGGATTACAGGCACACGCCATCACGCCCAGCTAATTTTTTGTATTTTTAGTAGAGACAGGGTTTCACCATGTTGACCAGGATAGTCTCAATCTCTTGACCTCGTGATCCACCCGCCTCGGCCTCCCAAAGTGCTGGGATTACAGGCTTGATCCACCGCGCCCGGCCCGGTCGTATTTCTTTAATTGCATTTCACGTAATTCCACGGTGTTCGAAACTTACACTTTTGTTCCACTGTACTGAACGACCAGGAGACTTTTAACCCTTTATTGATGATAGTGATTTGTTTTCCTTTCAAGAGCTGCCCACCGATGCCTCCAGCTCTGGGAAGACATTATCCAAATACCACTGAAATGACTGGCAGCCCAGTCGTTTCCTTAACTCAACACGCTCACTGATGTTTCCGTAGGTCATATATTTCAGACCAGGTTTTCGAAGGAAAAACTGCTCCTAAATGAAAACATACGGTCAGTCATTGCATGAAACCAAACAAATCTTTGGTGATCAAATGATTATATTTAACACAGACGCATATCTTTTCATCATGTGAACTACAAAAGCCCTCCAGATCCCAATTTTTCTCTGTCCAGGGAATGAAGGCAGAGACATACTCTGAGCCTCGGATTCACCCACACGGGACATGTTCACAGCATGTGCCACGGCACCCTAAGTGGCATAGCAGGATCCAGGAAGACTGGGTCCTGCTTCTCAGGAGCCAAAGACTCCCAGCCACCTCTTGTGGTACCCCCTGTCTCCTGTTTTTTCAACAATACTCAAGGACAGACCCCTTACTTGCTGGTCCCGATCAGACATTTCTTTCATCTTTTCAGAAATCGAGGGTGATGTCGGAGTTAAAGGAGAAGGGACCCTGCAGGAGGACTGGCTGGGCTCAAAGTCTGGCTCTACCATTCAGTGTCTGTGTGGCCTTGGGCAAGTCCTCCCCTTATGAACGGGTTATGGGGGTTGAACAGTGTAATATGTACATGCAAAGCCCTGGGCAAGCATGGCTGGCACATACTAAGTGTCACATCTGAGGTGGTCATTGTTGTCACACTTGGTTAGTTTTTTGTGTGCTCTGACTTAAGGAAGCCCCAAGAATGAATGTCTAATGGTCTCTGATGGCCCCATGTTGGAAAAGGTATTCTAGGTAGACTGAAGCCCTATGCAGACAGAACCCTTATATTTTCATCTGTGTTTTCCTAGGCCCTGGCATGCAGGATAGTAATAGTGTTGAATAAGAGAAGTTTGCTAGTCCAAATTAATGTATTACGGACATGCCATGTTGGATTCTCCCAGGGGATCCACGACCACTGTAGGTCCTTGCCGTGGTGTTCTGCCGCCCCTAAGTCCCCAGAGTGGATTGGTGCAGGGGACGAGGCTGCAGGTGGAGGAGGCCATCATTTTGGAGACAAGACAGCATGGATTACCTTCGGCACATCTCCCTGTCCAGAGCCCTCTCTTATCCCAATCAGTCACTACATTTCCCAACGTGCTGTATTATGCAATCTATTGATTTTTATACTTAACATCATATGCCTTTAAGTTAACTTTCTGGCACTATATGCTTTGTGAAATTCAGCAAACCATCCAGAAATAGCTATGTTCAATTCAACCATCTAGATCCATGAGCAGCGTTCACAGAAAAAAAATCAACAGACATGAAAATAAGCTCAAGATTTGTCATCATGAAATACAATTTTAAACAATGAGATGCTTTTTAACCTATTTAATTAAAAGAAACAAACAGTTCAATTATAACCAATATGAGGAGACAGGCACATTCGTGTACATTTGATGGCATCATAGATGATGAAACAGTGAAGACCATTTGGACGTTACCCCATCAGGATTTAAAATGCACTAACTCTTTCCCCAGCAAGCTCATGTCTTAAATTTATTTCAAAGATATATTTGCACACATATGCAAAAAGAAGCATGTCAATAATTCTCATTTCAAGGCTCAGTACAGTGGCTCATGCCTGTATTCCCAGCACCTTGCGAGGCCAAGGCAGGTGGATCATGATGTCAGGAGTTTGAGACCAGCCTGGCCAATATGGTGTAACCACATCTCTACTAAAAATATAAAAAAATTAGCTGGGTATGACAGCACGTGCTTGTAGACCCAGCTACTCAGGAAGGCTGAGGGAGGAGAATTGCCGGAACCTGGGAGGCAGAGGTTACAGCGAGCCGAGATCACACCACTGCATTCCAGCCTAGGCAAAAGAGCGAGACTCCGTCTCAAAAAAAAGAAAAAAGAACTCTAATTTCAGGATTGTCAAGAAAATAACAAAAAGCTGAAGAAATCAGAATGCTTATCAACTGGTACTATTTATTAATGGGATCAATTTTGGTAGATCCAATCCAAGGAAATTTTTTTTTTTTTTTTTTTTTGAGATGGAGTTTCACTCTTGTTGCCCAGGCTGGAGTGCAATGGCGCGATTCAGCTCACCACAACCTCCCCCTCCTGGGTTTAATTGCTTCTCCTGCCTCAGCATCCTGAGTAGCTGGGATTAAAGGCATGTGCCACCATGCCTGGCTAATTTTTGTATTTTTAATAGAGACGGGGTTTCTCCACATTGATCAGGCTGGTCTTGAACTCCTGGCCTCAGGTGATCTGCCCACCTCGGCCTCCCAAAGTGCCGGGATTATAGGTGTGAACCATGGTGCCCGGCCCAAAGGAACTATTCAAGAGAATGAGATAGGTTTATATGTTCTGATTTTGAAAGACAACTTGAAAGCTCGCTGCCTTTTCTTTCCTGATCATAACCCTTTTCCTTAGTTTTAAAAGCTATCTTGATTATGTATTCATTTCTTTTCATTCTAACTTGGATATCTGATTATTCATGCACAGATTATATGGTTTAATTTTACCCATTTGACCTTTACAGGAAGGAAATGATACAGTATAAGTTCTGTTGTGTTTGGCTGACTTCATTCACCATTACGTCTCTGAAATTTACCTATGCTTTTGTAGGTACAGTCATGCACCATGTAATGACGTTTCAGTCAACCCCTGACTATGGCCATAACAGTGGGCCCATAAGATTATAATACCATATTTTTACTGTACCTTTTATTTAGATAATATTTACATACACAAATACTTACCACTGGGTTACAACTGCCTACAGTGTTCAGTAGAGTCACATGCCGTACAAGTTTGTAGCCCGGGAGCAATGGGCCATACCAATAGCCAAGGTGTGTAGTGGGCTGTATCGTCCAGGTTTGTGTAGGTACTAGGTATACTCTATGATAGTCCCACAACAATGAAATCACCTAATGATGATTTCTCATAATATTTTCCCTTCGTTAAGTGAGACATGACTATACAATAGAGTTGGTTAGTTTTCTTTTTCTTTTTTTTTTTTTTTTTGAGCTAGAGTTTCACCCTTGTAGCCCAGACTGGAGTGCAGTGGCATGATTTCGGCTCACTGCAACCTCCACCTCCCAGGTTTAAGGAATTCTCCAGCCTCAGCTTCCTGAATAGCTAGGATTACTGGTGCCCGCCACCATGCCCAGCTAATTTTTTTTTTTTTTTAATTTTTAGTAGAGATGGAGTTTTGCCATGTTGGCCAGGCTGGTCTTGAACTCCTACCCTCAGGTGATCCACACACCTTGGTCTCCCAAAGTGCTGGGATTATACGTGTGAACCACCGTGCCCAGCCCAGTTAATTTTCATTGCTGTATAGGATTACAGCAACTAAATATATCACATTTATTCACTCTACTCTTGATGAGTATTGGTATTGTTACTGCACTAAGTTTTGGCTAAAACCAAAAATGCTGTTTATCAGTCTTCTTGTTCATGTGTCCTGGTGCACAACAGCACACATTTCTGTAGCATATGCATGAGCGCAACTGCTGACTCTCAAGGTATTCATACCTTTACTCTAGTAGATGCTGCCAAGTTGTTTTCAGAGGCAATTTTGTAAAAGTTCACACTCCCGTAAGTGAGGGCTGAGAGTTCCTACTGCTCACCGACACTTGGACCTATCAGACTTTGTTGTTTTTTTCTTTTTTTGAGATGGAGTTTTGCTCTTGTTGCCCAGGCTAGAGTGCAATAGTGCTATCTCAGTTCGCTGCAACTTTCACCTCCTGGGTTCAAGGGATTCTCCTGCTTCAGCCTCCCGAGTAGCTGGGATTACAGGCATGCACCACCAAGCCCAGCTAATTTTGTATTTATAGTAGAGACGAGGTTTCACCATATTGGCCAGGCTGATCTTGAATTCCTGACCTCAGGTGATCTGCTTACCTGGGCCTCCCAAAGTGCTGGGACTACAGGCATGAGCCACCGTGCCCAGCCGGGCCTGTCCGACTTTTTAAATTCTGCCAATCTAAGAGGCGGTGTTGAAATAGTTCTTTGAAGTTTTAATTCACATTTCTTGAATTACAAAAGAAATGGAATGTATTGTCTTCATAATTAAAATGTGTTCTCAATTAGAGAAACGTAAGATGAAGAGCAGGACATACACAGTCATAGACAGTAGTCCCAGCTGCTCAGGAGGCTGAGGCAGGAGAATCGCTTGAACCCAGGAGGCAGAGGTTACAGTGAGCTGAGATGGTGCCGCTGCACTCCAGCCTGGTGACAGAGTGAGACTCCATCTCAAAAACAAAACAATACAAACAAACAAAAAACAAAGAGTTTCAAGTGGGGACAGGGGCAGGGAGAAGGGGAAGCTGTTTGCTTCAGCTGTGGGGCAATTCCCTGGGGGTGGGAATGGAGGGAGTGGATCCAGCACCCCCATAAAAAAGACTGCTCACGCTGGTTGATTTACTTCTAAGAAACTTGAGTTTTCCCAGAAATTAACACAAAAATAATGAGGTGCAAGAGTAGCAGCTTAGGATGAAGTGAGACTAGGGCTGGGGATGGGTTGATGAGGGGTTGGAGGGGTGCTATTCATTCAAGAAAAACAGAGGAAAGAACAACTATCAATAACTATCAACAGGTAGTTTTTTGATCCTCACCCTCCCACAATCCACCCTCCAGAAGGCCCCAGCATCTGTTGTTCCCTACTTTGTGTCCATGTACAATGTTTAGCTCTCACTTATGAGAAGATGCAGTACTTGGTTTTCTGTTCCTGTGTTAATTTGCTTAGGATAATGACATCCAGGACAAACACTGGATCTGGAAAGGCAGCGGCAGGCTTCCTCAGAAGAAGTCCTGCTCTGGGCTTACGTGCATTTTCCAAGTCAAGGATGCGTTCCCCACCTTATATTCATCCAGCCAAACGTGCACCAGTCTTAGGTAGTTACGTGCCACAGCATTGATGAGCTCAGAACCTTTTCCAGGTTGTTTCTTACTGATATGTCCTACGCGAGAGCAGGGGATTATAAAGAGTTGGCCTCCACACATCCAGATCTAGGCATAAGAAGAACCAAAAACACATGAATGCCTTATTGCTAGTAATAGGCAACTGCTGGATTTTTTAAACAGAGGCCAGGTGTGGTGGCTCACATCTGTAATCCCAGCACTTTGGGAGGCCAAGGTAGGCAGATCACCTGAGGTCGAGTTTGAGATCAGCCTGGCCAACATGGTGAAACCCTGTCTCTACTAAAAATACAAAAATTAGCCAGGTGGGGTGGTACATCCCTATAATCTCAGTTACTCGGGAGGCTGAACCAGAAGAATCACTTGAACCTGGGAGGTAGAGATTGCAGTGAACTGAGATCGCGCCACTGTACTCTAGCCTGGGTGACAGAGCAAGACTCCATCTCAAACAAACAAACAAACAAAACAAAACCATAAAAAACCGTAATAAAGGCTAATTAAGTTTCTTTTTTTTTTTTTTTTTTTTTTTTGAGAAGGAGTTTCGCTCTTGTTACCCAGGCTGGAGTGCAATGGTGCGATCTCGGCTCACCGCCACCTCCGCCCCCTGGGCTCAGGCAATTCTCCTGCCTCAGCCTCCTGAGTAGCTGGGATTACAGGCACGTGCCACCATGCCCAGCTAGTTTTTTGTATTTTTAGTAGAGACGGGGTTTCACCATGTTGACCAGGATGGTCTCGATCTCTTGACCTCGTGATCCACCCGCCTCGGCCTCCCAAAGTGCTGGGATTACAGGCTTGAGCCACCGCGCCCGGCCAAGTTTCTTATTTAAATCTCACAACAGCCTCATAATGCAGATTCTGTGATTATCCCCATTCTACAGATGGGGAAACTAACACACAGATTGGTTAAGAAGCTTGCCCGTGACAGAAGTTACACAGCGGAGTGCAAGGTTCGAATTTAGAAGGCCTGACTGAGAGCCAGCAATGAAGTCCAAGGGTTTCTGCCGCTCTCATAATTACCTACAGGAATTGCTGGATGTAGACAAGAAACAAAAGAAGTGATGATCATGACTGAATTCAGTTATTCAGCTTTTTTCATACCTGCAACTCCTCACATTGCTCACCTTTAATAACTGTTCATTTTACTATATGGAAGTAAAATACAGCCATTGAAAACTTGGCAAATATAGGAAAGCACACAGAAGACAACACAACTCAGTTCTCGTCCTAACATTCTGAGTGAGTCAGCATTAGCCCAGGCACGTATGTAAACACACAAAGACATACAACGTTAACATAACTGGCTTTTTTTCATTTGATATTGTGTGAAATTATTTTCCAAGTCTTATGTTGTCTGGACATTTTGGTAGCTTCTGATTTTATTAGAAATAATACCCCAAAGAACATGCTTGTGATAGAAATCTTGTGCGCCCGATTGCCCATCTGACGGTGTACTTGCCGTAACGCTTTTGTTTCTAACCACTCCATAAGTAGTTCTTACACTAGCACAACTCAGACATTCTGGCTAAGCCCAGCAACAGCACTTTAGCGATACAGTGGTTTATGAGAAATAGCCATTGCCTGGTGTTTTAAGGCACCGTGTTTGGGGATAGTTTGTTATACAGCAAAAGCTGATACATGAAAGAGCATTTTCCTCCTAACAGCGGTTTTTTTTTCTTTCCAACTTTTGTTTTCAGTTCAAGGGTACATGTGCAGGTGTGCTGCATGTGTAAACTGCATGTCTGGGGGTTTGGAGTACAGATTATTTCATCTCCCAGGTAATGAGCATAGTACTCAGCAGGTGGTTTTTTATCCTCACCCTCCCACAGTCCACCCTCAAGAAGGCCCCAGTATCTGTTGTTCCCTACTTGGTGTCCATGTGAAATGTTTAGCTCTCACTTATGAATGAGAATATGCAGTATTTGGTTTTCTGTTCCTGTGTTAATTTGCTTAGGATAATGACCTCCAGCTCCATCCACAATTTTATTCTTTTTAAATGGCTGTATAGCATTCCATGGTGTATATGTCCCACATTTTCTTTATCCAGTCTGTTTGTTTTGTTTTGTTTTTAAGATGGGGTTTCACCCTGATGGCCAGGCTGGTCTTGAACTACTGACACCCAAGTATACTTAAAAGATACGAAGGGCCATCAAGAAAAGCGCCATTATTGGAACAGGAATAATTAATATGTTTGAATAACAAATTAGTCATTACCAGGCATGGTGACTCACGCCTGTAATCCCATTACTTTCAGGTGGATCACAAGGTCAGGAGTTTGAGATCAGGTGGATCACAAGGTCAGGAGTTTGAGATCAGCCTGACCAACATGGTGAAACCCCTGTCTCTACTAAAAATACGAGAATTAGCTGGGTGTGATGGTGTGTACCTATAATCCCAGCTACTCAGGAGGCTGAGGCAGGAGAATCTTTTGAACCCAGGTGGCAGAGCTGAGACCATCTCACTGCACTCCAGCCTGGGCAACAGAGTGAGAATCTATCTCCAAAAAAAGAAAAGTTGTCATTTGTTATCTATAGAGAATGTAGGGGCAGAAAAAGGAAAATATTTGCTCTCCAACTCTGCCTGTATAATATGCAAAACTGACCACAGTTATTAGGTCCTGAAAGGGGATAAGCTCCTTGTGCCATTTTCTTACAGTGCAATATAATAAAACAAGGAATAATCAATCGAACAGAATAAAATATACCAAAGGCATGGGTGTTATAAAACAATAACTGGGTCCAAAGGGAACATGAGAATGAAAAAAACAAAGCAACCAAAACAACAGGCTTAAGAGGGACCACTGAACAGAGGACTGGAGGAAACGATATGTTCTAGATATTTTCATATGCTAATCAAGTATCTGAAGCCTTATGAAAGAAGTCTGCGCTTGAGAACTTTAAAAGTGAACAAATAACCGGCCAAAAGAAGAGAGGAAATCAGGGGGAAAATAAAATCCCAAACAGAAAACACTGGAAAAAGAACACAACTACTGAGACAATAAAAATCATACAGGGATTAAAAATATTATATTAATTTGGCCAGGTGTGGTGGCTCACGCCTGAAATCCCAGCACTTTGGGAGGCTGAGGCGGGTGGATCACCTGAGGTTGGGAGTTTGAGGTCAGTCTGATTAACATGGAGATACTCCATCTCTATCAAAAAAAGAAAAATACAAAAATTAGCAAGGGGGGGCGGCGTATGCCTGTAGTCCCAGCTACTTCGGAGGCTGAAACAGGAGAATCACTTGAACCCAGGAGGCAGAGGTTGTGGTGAGCCAAGATCATGCCATTGAACTCTAGCCTGGGCAACAGGAGTGAAACCCTGTCTCAGAAAAAATTATATTGATTTGATATAGCATGTATCAGAAATAACAAAATATATGGTATAAGAACTTAATATTTTTAAATTAAATTATTATTATTATTATTATTATTTTTTGAGACGGAGTTTTGCTCTTGTTACCCAGGCTGGAGTGCAATGGCGCGATCTCGGCTCACCGCAACCTCCGCCTCCTGGGCTCAGGCAATTCTCCTGCCTCAGCCTCCTGAGTAGCTGGGATTACAGGCACGCGCCACCACGCCCAGCTAGTTTTTTGTATTTTTAGTAGAGACGGGGTTTCACCATGTTGACCAGGATGGTCTCGATCTCTCGACCTCGTGATCCACCCACCTCGGCCTCCCAAAGTGCTGGGATGACAGGCCTGAGCCACCGTGCCCGGCCTAAATTAAATTAAATTTATTTATTTTTAGAAGTAGAAGTTAGGCACGGTAGCTCACATCTGTAATCTCAGTGCTTTGAGAGGCTGAGATGAGAGGATTGCTTGAGCCCAGGAGTTCAAGACCAGCTTGGGCAACAGGGTGAGACCCCATCTCATTAAAAAAAAAAGAAAAGTAGAGATAGGAGTCTTGCTATGTTGCCAAGGGTGGTCTTGAACTCCTGGCTTCAAACAATCCACCTGCCTCCGTCTCCTAAAAGTGCTAGGATTATAGGCATGAGCCACCACAACAGGCCAAGGATCTAATCTTTTATTAAATGTTTTCCATTTTTACAAGGAGCCCCATACATTGTTCATTACATGTGATGCCGGAATGGCACTGAATGTTCACGTAGGGAAATTGAGCATAATCACCACAGCATTGTATGTGACAAAGTTAGATCTCATTCTCTATAGCTATTTTAAAAACAAAGTGAATCACCCTTAGTGAAAGTTCCAAATTTTCTCCTCCCCAAAAATCCATGTCCTTGTCATACTGTCCGATTTCATTAAAATAATGCCGACGAATAGCAAAAATTCCTCCAGCCATTGCAGGTGATCTGGAAAGGGGACATAAAAATTAATTTCACAGAGAAAGTCATTCTGTATTTTCCTCAAAATTATATTGAATTAGTAATAACTTACAGTTAAAAGTTAATACTAAAACTATCTTACTATCCATTTAACTATATGAAATTGCAGGCGGGTGTTGAACAATGAGAACACATGGACACAGGGAGGGGAGCATCACACACTGAGGTCTGTGCCGGGGGGACTAGAGGAGGGACGGTGGGGGGCTGGGGAGTTGGGGAGGGATAACATGGGGAGTAATGCCAGATATTGGTGATGGGGATGGAAGCAGCAAGCCACATTGCCATGTGTGTACCTATGCAAAAATCCTGCATATTCTTTACATGTACCCCAGAACCTAAAATGCAGTTTTATATATATATATATATATATAAAATATAAAATTGCTAAAAACTACAACTACCAAAAGTAGGCAATAACTTTTATTTAGCTCTCATCAAAATATGTATGCGATACATTCTAAACGTTTTCTTAAGAAGAAGAAAAATGATGTTTGGAATTTGAGTTTCCCCTGAGGATGGTAATTGAACTGGGTAGCAGAGTTCAAAGCTCTCCCATTCTAAAGACATTAGGTGAATTGAAATATTTACTTCTGGACAAACCATAATGTTGTGAAGCATCTTGCTCTGTCTACCCATAGTTGGGCCAAATAATGCAAAACCAAGTAGTTTGAAAATAGTCACAGCTGGACGCCGTGGCTCACGTCTGTAATGCCAACACGTTGGCAGGTCAAAGTGGGAGAATCACTTGAGGTCAGGAGTTTGAGATCAGCTTGGCCAACATGGTAAAACCCCATTTCTACTAAAAATACAAAAATTAACCAGATGTGGTCGCTCACGCCTGTAATTCCAGCTACTTGGGATGCTGAGACACGAGAATTGCTTGAACCTGGGAGGTGGAAGCTGCAGTGAGCTGAGATCACGCCACCGCACTCCAGCCTGGGCAACAGAGTGAGAATGTCTCGGGGAAAAAAAAAAAAAAAAAAAAAAAAAACAAAACAGAAAGAAAAGAAAATAATCACAAGTTCATTCATTTGTTCAAAAAAGTATCTATTGAGCACCTGTGTTTCTGGGATATGAGTCACTCAACACACAAAGCAAGACCCGTGTGTTGGGGAAAGGATAGGGAGACCATTAGAGGGGCTGCAGTGGTCCCAGAGAAAAATAATGGGATCCTGGATAAGCATGCAGCAATGTAGGCAGTAAGATGTGGTTGAATTCCTTGTATATTTTGGTGACGGAGCTAACAGATTTGCTTATGGGGGTGGTGTGGGGTGTTGGAGGAAGAGAAGCATCGTTTTCGGCCTGCACACCAGACAGACGGAATTGCCATGCACTGAGATGAGAAATCCCACGGGTGGAGAGGATTTTGGCAGGAAGATTCTCTTTGGGGCACATTTGAGATGTCTATTTGGCATGCCGCTGGGGATGTGAAGTAGGTAGTTGGATGCAGTTGGATACATGAGTCAGGTGTTCTGGGAGAGGTCAGGGCTGGAGGCGTCCTTTGGGAGTCACGGATAAGGTGGATGAGAATCACTTCGGGTGAATGGAGAAGCACAGAGGACCAGCCGTGAGCCCCGGGTGCTTCCACATTGAGAGCTGGAGAGGAGGAGAGGAACTGACCAAGGAGACGGGAAGGAGCAACCAGGGAGGGAGAGAAGGACCAGGAACTCCGGTTCCCTGGAGGCCAGGGAGGCATGTGTGTCCGAGAGAAGGGCGTGCATCCACCGGCTGAATCAGCGAGTGAGGACTGGCACCGAGCACCGGACGGAGCCACGCGAAGGTCATGAGCAAGTCTGAATCGTGAATGCGGGGGCGAAGCCTGATGGAAGTGAGTTTAAGGAAACTGGAGATAGAGACATCTCTTGCTAAGGCTCTAATACAAAAGTGAGGAAAGGGGAAGTCACTGACAGGAAGTGGGGTCAAAATAAAGTGGTTTTGATTTTGTAATTGGCAGCCATCACAGCACGACTGTATTCTGATAGGAATGTTGTATCTGGTTCACTGGGCAGTGCGCGTCATGCCCGGTGCAGTGGGTGCTGCATGTCCTGTCTGGTGCCCTGGGTAACGTGCATTCTATCTGGCACTGGGACGCTAGAAGGAGACTGATTCCAGGCAGCCCAGAAAGCCTGGTAGGAAATGATCCCTCCCCTGCCATAGCACTGACCTGATAGTCTGTTTTTACCTGCCTGACCTCTTCTCTAGACTATACACATTTGAGGACGGGGATCATGCGTCCTATCAATACAATGCCCACCACATGGTAGGTAATCAATAAACACCCATTCAATTTACAAACCAAGTAATTTCACAAAACAATTTTTTTTTTAAGTTATGCCATTAGGTACCATTGAAAATAGGGTGAAAACATGTGTGGCTCAGAGGATTCAAGTTATACCTTCTTTTCAAGAGAGAAAGTGTTCACTCTAAAAATCTTGAAATCTTTATGTGTGTGTGTGTGTGTGAACTGACAGCCACTGGAGACAGAAAGGTAGGTGATGGGAGGGCAGTGGATGATGAGAGATCACTTAATGGGTGCAGTGTACATTGTTTGAGTGGTGGATACTTGAAAAGCCCAAACTTCACCACCAAGCAATATAGCCATGTAACAAAATTGCATTTGTACCCCCTGTATTTATACAAATAAATCAATAAAATAATACAATAAAATTTCTTTTCTTTCAACTTTAAGACAAAATTTTTCTTATATATTTTAATGTAACATGATTATGATATATATAATATGTATAATATATATTACATGTAATATGTACAATAGAGTCACACAAAGGTATACTGACAGAAAATTTTTTATGTTTTTTTTAATTGAACATATGAGAAGTTTTCTTTCTAGTGAATTAGACCTTGAAAACTTAACTTTTAATGATTGTGATAGTCCACAAAAATGAATATACTTTATTTATTTATTTATTTATTTATTTATTTATTTTTGAGACGGAGTTTCGCTCTTGTTACCCAGGCTGGAGTGCAATGGCGCGATCTCGGCTCACCGCAACCTCCGCCTCCTGGGTTCAGGCAATTCTCCTGCCTCAGCCTCCTGAGTAGCTGGGATTACAGGCACACGCCACCATGCCCAGCTAATTTTTTGTATTTTTATTAGAGACGGGGTTTCACCATGTTGACCAGGATGGTCTCGATCTCTTGACCTCGTGATCCACCCGCCTCAGCCTCCCAAAGTGCTGGGATTACAGGCTTGAGCCACCGCGCCCGGCTACTTTATTTTTTTACGCATTTCAATACTATTAGAATTTTTATGTTGTTTTCAGTTTTTTATTAGTATAAACATTGACATTATATACATCTCCATGCTTATTCTGACTCTCTTCAAATCAAGTAAGTGGGTTACTGCATCAAAGAATAAGGATGTTTCTAAGATTCTTAATTTGCATTGCCAAATTGTTTTCAAAAAGGAGGAACCTGTGTATCTACACACAAGCGGTGTATCAGAATTCTAAACATTTGACCATTTAGCAAATAAATATTAGGAATATTCAGTTTCCCTGTTGAATAGCAGTTATCTTTACATTAGAGCCTAAAAATATTTTATATGTGAGGTATGGAAATATTACAAAAATTATAAGCCAAGTTTGTGTAAATATTGGAATATTATGGAAATATTACAAAAATTATAGGCCAATTGGAACACCATAGCCATTTCTTATTAAAAGTAACTTTATGTGGCCGGGCGCGGTGGCTCAAGCCTGTAATCCCAGCACTTTGGGAGGCCGAGGCGGGTGGATCACGAGGTCAAGAGATCGAGACCGTCCTGGTCAACATGGTGAAACCCCGTCTCTACTAAAAATACAAAAAATTAGCTGGGCATGGTTGCGCATGCCTGTAATCCCAGCTACTCAGGAAAGCTGAGGCAGGAGAATTGCCTGAACCCAGGAGGCGGAGGTTGCGGTGAGCCGAGATCGCGCCATTGCACTCCAGCCTGGGTAACAAGAGCGAAACTCCGTCTCAAAAAAAAAAAAAAAAAAAAACTTTATGTAAAATTATTTTGAGGTAACTCAACAGATTGATGCTGTTCTCGTTTTTATGAAGCCAAGATTTCTACATATTACATTTTATTCAAATAACGTACACCTTTGCCCATCTTTGTTCCGAAGTCTGTGGCATCACCAATACCTAATGTTGGTATTGATCAGATCACTTCTCTGTGTCAAGCCTTATGCTCTGTGTTTTACATGTATTGGCTCATTTATTCACCTCGACAATCCTAAGAGGCACGTGTTAATTATTATCATCACTGTTTTACAGATGAGGACACTGAAGCTGAGAGAGGTAATTGCACCAACTGAGGGCTGTCCTAATGTACAGCTCCAGACATGCCACTGACCTTGTGGTCTTTGTGTGAACAGTGCCTCCTGGAGATGTGCAGTGCACAGCTGGTGCAACTGTACATGGCGGCCCTAAACAGCTAACAAATGATGGAGTCCCTCCTGCAAACTAGGTCTGCTCGACTTGAGCTTTTAGTCAAAATGAACTATTGCCTCTCAAAGTCATGATTGAATCCATATAGTATTGTGTTCAGTACCAGAGAATCAAAAAGTTATAGATCATGTGAAGATAAACATCATATTAGATATTGAGTACTAAGTGATTCCATTGACAATAATTCTATTACTGTATTAAAGACTTCTAGAAACAAGTAACAAAACATTTTCTTTTTCTTTTCTTTTTTTTTTTTTTTTTATTGAGACGGAGTTTCGCTCTTGTTCCCCAGGCTGGAGTGCAATGGCGCGATCTCGGCTCACCGCAACCTCCGCCTCCTGGGTTCAGGCAATTCTCCTGCCTCAGCCTCCTGAGTAGCTGGGATTACAGGCACGCGCCGCCACGCCCAGCTAATTTTTTTTTTTGTATTTTTAGTAGAGACGAGGTTTCACCATGTTGACCAGGATGGTCTCAATCTCTTGACCTCGTGATCCACCCGCCTCAGCCTCCCAAAGTGCTGGGATTACAGGCTTGAGCCACCGCGCCCGGCCTACAAAACATTTTCATTAAGCTCAATAACTTGAAAGAATAATCTCTGGAGGTTTACCCCTCAGGTCTCAATACACATAAGCTGTATTTTCCCAAAAGCAGAAGAAATCTCACCGGATTGGTTTAGTGGGTCCTTCTGGTCCATCCATCTCATAAGAGAAAACATTATCCCATTTAAATTGTAGGTTCCAGTCAAAAGCTCCCCTTACGACAGGAGAGGGCTTATATTTCAAGGTTCTATCATCAATGACATCTATCACGGGGCACACCACCATTTTGGGGTCCTTGGCAATGGCATGCAGCAGGGGCTCCAGCCATACTCTGTTCACCTCACAGTGGCTGTCCAGGAACACCAGAACATCCCCTGGGGAGGCAAGAACAGGGTAACGTTAGTCCACATAGCTGAAAAATATGGCAATCCAAATCAAGGTTCAAGGCGATGAATATTTCTTGAGCATTTACTCTGCGTGGGCTCTTACAGTGCTTTCAGTTTCATTGGAAGGAAACAAGAAATAAATTATTATGTACAAAAATATGCAACATCATGTGCCATAGGTGTTCAGAGGAAGCCAGTGATTATGGGTTAGAAAGTGGTTTCAGGGAGAATTCTAAAGGAGTAGGTGGAAGGAATTGAGCTGGACTTCCATTTAAAAAAATGATTTTAGCTTGGTCTTGATTGATCAACTTAAATTTAACAAATTTTCAGGCTGAGCGTGGTGGCTCACACTTATAATCCTAGCATTTTGGGAGGCCGAGGTGGGTGGATCACCTGAGGTCAGGATTTCAAAACCAGCCTGGCCATCATGGTGAAACCCCATCTTAAAAAAAAAAAAAAAAAAAAAAAAGAACAAATTTTCCTTGAGAGGACCCCTTCTTAGGCACTGAGTTTGGTGCATGGGATGGAGACATACATTATTACTTTTGTTCTTGAGTTCAAACCTTTTTATCGCCCAGGCTGGAGTGCAGTGGTGTGATCTTGCCTCACTGCAACCTCTACCTCCCAGGTTCAAGCAATTCTCCTGCCTCAGCCTCCCAAGTAGCTTAGTACACCACACCTGGCTAATTTTTGTATTTTTACTTAGTATACCACACCTGGCTAATTTTTGTATTTTTGGTAGAGACAGGGTTTCACCATGTTGGCCAGGCTGGTCTCAAACTCCTGATCTCAGGTGATCCATCCACCTTGGTCTTGAAGTTCAAGCTTTAATGGAGGCCTATTCTGCTTAGAGAACGTGGGAATAATTGGCATGGTTAAAGTAAAGAATGTATGTTAGTTGGCTGGGCGCGGTGGCTCACGCCTGTAATCCCAGCACTTTGGGAGGCCGAGGCGGGTGGATCACGAGGTCAAGAGATCGAGACTAGCCTGGTCAACATGGTGAAACCCCATCTCTACTAAAAATACAAAAAATTAGCTGGGCATGGTGGCGTGTACCTGTAATCCCAGCTACTCAGGAGGCTGAGGCAGGAGAATTGCCTGAACCCAGGAGGCGGAGGTTGCGGTGAGCCGAGATCATGCCATTGCACTCCAGCCTGGGTTAACAAGAGTGAAACTCTGTCTCAAAAAAAAAAAAAAAAAAAAGAAAAAAAAAGAAAAGGGCCAAGACAATCCAATAGAGTATAGTCTTTTCAATAAATGGTGCTGAGACACCTGAATATCCACATGCAAAAGCATGAAGTTAGACCCCTACCTCATATCATACTAAAAATCAAATCAAATGGGTCATAGACTTAAGGTAAGAGCTAAAATTATAAAACTCAGAAGGAAACATAGGCATACATTTATGACCCTGGGCGAGGCAATGGTTTCTTAGATACAACACCAAAAATATAGGGGACATAAGAAAAAATAGATATGTTGGAATTGATCAAAAGCAAAAACTTTTGTGCTTAAAAGACACCATCAAGAAAGTATAAAAATGGCCATGCACAATGGCTCATGCCTATAATCCCAACACTTTGGGAGGCTGAGGCGGGCAGATCACCTCTGGTCAGGAGTTCAAGACCAGCCTGACCAACATGGTGAAACCCCGTCTCTACTAAAAATACAGAAATAAATGGCCAGGCATACTGGTGGGTGCCTGTAATCCCAGCTACTTAAGAGGCTGAGGCAGGAGAATCTCTTGACCCCAGAAGGCAGTGAGCCAAGATCGCACCACTGCACACCAGCCTGGGCAACAGAGCAAGACGCTGTCTCTAAAAACAAACAACCACAACAACAACAAAGAAAGTGAAAAAAAAAAAAAAATCCACAAAATGGGGGAAAATTTTTCCAAATTATACATCTAATAAGGGACTTGAATCAGAATATATAAAGAATTCTTACAAGTTAGTAATAAAAAGACAAATAACTTGCTTTAAAATGGGCAAGAGTTTGAATAGACATTTCTTCAAAGAAGATGTTCAAATGGCTGCTAAGCATGTGAAAAGATGTGCAACACCATTAATCATCAGAGAAACGTCAACAAAAATCACATTGAGGTATCACTTTACAACCACTAGGATGGCTAGAATGAAAAAGCCCACAGCAAGTCTTGGGGAGGTGGTGGAGAATTTGGAGCATTTGTCCAATGCTGTTGGGGATGACGGGTGAGAGGGGAGGAGCACAGGGAGCAGGAAAGTTCTTTCTTGCCTGGACTTGGGACTCTCTGGGCTGAGTTCTCTGAGGGTGTGGCTGGCAGAGTAATTTTGAGGACCTCCCTTCCCATCCCTGCCGGTCTCTCGTTGACAGTTCCCACAATCGGGCTAAGTGCATTCTATTCTGGCGGCTCAGTCTGTCTTCTCAGCTCCTTAGGATCCTGTGTTCTGCCTCTAGCTTCTCTGCTGAGACCTGTCCATTCTTCTAGATAGTCCTACTGGACGCTATCAAAATGATCCCGACAGCGCTCCCTCTCAAACAATGCAGAAGCAAACTGCCCTAAATGCAGCTACTAAGCTAAAAGCAAGTGTCCTTTGTTCTACAGCTGGTCACAGTTCTTTTATCCTTTTGATTTTCCGGCAAAAACGTAATATTAGTTCACTTCTCCTCAATCCCAGTATATTTCCAATTTTATTGTATTGATGTCTGAGAACGTGCTGAATTCACATCAAGTCTTTCTCACCAAGCTTCGAGGAGTATCTTTCTCCAAAATTTCCTTTAATCTCTAACAATTTGACTCAATCTAGCTGAGCCATCTCATTGGTTCCCAGATCTCGATTTTGAAATGTCTTTATCCTGATCGGTTTAACAACTCACTTTGGAATACTACCTCTATGGTTTTCATGCCTCAACCAAGACTAAGCTAAGAAGAGTCCCATTTTTAACACATACAATTTTTCATACTATTGGCAGCACACACACAGTCTTGCACTTCCCATTTTTTACCTGCAATGGCTTCTATAATATTACGTGACATTATCAGCATTTTAAAATCATGTCTGCTAACTTGACAGGTGAAAAATAACCTCTGGTTCTCCTAAGATGTACGAATGGCTAGCAAGCACATGAACAGACACGCAACACCATTAGACCTTAGGGAAACACAAATCAAAACCAGAGTGAAGTATCGCTTTGCTTCCACTAGGATGACGAGAACTTAAAAAATGAAAAATAAGTTTTGGCAATGGTATCGAGAAATCTGAACTCTTATACATTGCTGGTGGGAGCGTAAATGGTGCAGCCGCTGAAGAAAAGAGCTTGGCAGCTCCTCAAAAAATTAAACCTGGAATTACCATAAGACCCAGCAATTCTACCCCTAAGAACATACTCAAAACAATTCAAGCTAATGTATGCATGGCCATAGTAGTACTACTGACAACAGCCAGAAGAAGGAAACTGCCCAAAATGCCCATCAATGGATGAACAGAGAAACAAACTGTGGTACATGACAGAATGGAACATTATCCACCCATAGAAAGGAAGGAAGTACTGACACATCCACCATGCGGATGGACCTCAAAAACATCATGCTAAGTGAAAGAAGCCTGACACAAAAAGTTACATACTGTATGATTCAGTTTCTATGAAATATCTAGAAAACAGACAACACAGATTGGTGGTTGCCAGGGACGGGAGGGAAGGAAGCTGCTTAATGGGTAAGAGGTTTTCTTTTCAGGTAATGAAAATGTTTTAGAGTTAGAGGTGATGGCTGTACAACATTGTGAAGGTGTGAAATGTACTCAATTGTTCATTTAAAAATGGTCAATTTTATGTTAATCTCACCTCAATAAAAAAATTCTGGTTAAATTTTTTTTTGTCGCTGTTGAGGTTGAGTTGTCCATGATTAGCCATGCATAAATGAAATTTTCATGTCCTTTGCCTAATAGAGTAGCTTTTTTTTTTTTTTTTTTAGATGGAGTCTCACTCTGTTGCCCAAGCTAGAGTGCAGTGGCACGATCTCAGCTCATTGCAACCTCCGCCTCCCAGTTTCAAGTGTTTCTCCTGCTTCGGCCTCCTGAGTAGCTGGGATTACAGGCATGTGCCACCACATCCAGCTAATCTTTGTATTTTTAGTAGAGATGGGGTTTCACCATGTTGGCCAAGCTGGTATTGAATTTCTGACTTCAAGTGATCCACCTGTCTCAGCCTTCCAAAGTGCTGAGGGATTATACTTCCAAAGGGATTGCAGGCATGAGCCACCATGCCTGGCCTGGAGGAGTATTTTTAATGGATTTTAAATGCACATTTTACATACTAAGAATATTAACTTTTTGTCTTGTTATATTTTCCTTAGTCTATTGTTATTTATTTCTTATTTGCAGCAATTTTACATGTTTTTTGTTAAAAAAAATAAACTTCTTTTCAGCTGTCTTTTCCTTTGGTTTTAAGCTTTGAAATTTCTTCCTTATTCATAGAACAAGCAAGTACTAATCTATGTTTTCTTTTTATCTTTTTAAATTTTTCTTATATGTTTGTGAAAATATTGTTTTTAAAGAGACAGTCTCACTCTGTCACCCAGGCTGGAGTGGAGTGGTGCTATTACAGCTCACTATAACCTCCAACTTCTGGACTCAAGCGATCCTCTTGCCTCAGCCTCCTGAGTAGCCAGGACCACAGGTGTGTGCCAACATACTCATCTAATTTTTTAACAAAAATTTTTGCAGAGATGGTGTCTCACTGTGTTGCCAGGCTGGTTGAGCACTCCTGGCCTCAAGCAATCCTCTCGCCTTGGCCTCCAAAGCGCTGGGATTACAAGCATGAGCCACCCGCCTTGGTCATGGTTTGATTTTCAAAAATAAAAATAACATTAATCCAGTTATAATTTGTTTGGGTTATGGTATGAAATAAAGACTTACCATTTCCCCAAAATGGCTAATTGTTTATACAGCATTAAATAACAATAAAAACAAACATTTTGGCTGGGCGCGGTGGCTCAAGCCTGTAATCCC